GGGCGGGCGGGGTGGGGGTAAACGGGCGCTTCGGAGGAGCTGCGGCGACAGGAAAAGCCACCCCCCCCGGCTTCTTTGAAGCAGTTTCTTCCTGGGCTGGTGGAGCAGCGAGAGAGCGACTGAGAGAGGAACAAGGCAGACACCTGAGGGAGGGAGGGAGACACCTGAGGGATGGGCTGAGGGAGGCAGGGCCGAGGCGCTCCCTGAACTTGGTGGTTTGCTGGCAGACGTTTTATTACCCGACTAGGTAACAACATCAGATGTTACCTAGTCAGGTAATGAAACGTCTGCAAGCAAACCACCAAACTCGGATTCTTCTCCTCCCTCCCCCCCCCCCCCCACCCCCCACACACGGCTTTCTTGTACCCTTATACCGCACCCCCCCGTCCTTGAAAAAGTGTTTGTGCTTGAAACTGGTCCCTGGTACAAAAAAGGTTGGGGACCACTGTGTTAAACTGTCTCTCTACAACAATTATACATATGCATTATAAGTGTACAAAAAAACTGTATTTCTGTCTATCAAATTCATTATGACAAATAAAGCATATGATTATTCTGGACTTTTAGATTTGAAATATGCATTTTAAATCATTATTAAGTCAGTGCTGTAAAAAGTCCCTTACTGGGAAGAAAAGAGACATAAAATTTTAACAAATCAGAGTTTATCTGAATAAATAATTCAAACCAAACTTACCTTCTCTAAATCAGTTTCAGTTGTCAATATTCCACTGATGAAAAGTTGATCATCCTGGAAGTAAGAGAAGAAAAGGCTTGTCAGCAACAGCAATCATGTTTTCTTTCTGATATAATGCCTGTTTATGTTACAGAGCAGGAATGCACAGTATTTAAGCTTGCAGAGCACATAGATAACTCCAGTGACACATGATTATTTTACATACCACAAACTCAGAAATACTAAAATACAACTCTCACTTTTATTTTTTTGATTCAATAATTTTTCAATCTTTTAATTTTTCAAAATAAAGTCATTGGAATATATTTTACAGACCTAAGAGTTTCAAATATGCAAAAGTCCAGAATAATCATATGATTTATCACTACAAAGTTAGAGCAATCACATGAAGTTTTTTTTAACTTCCACTGAACTTGGAAGTCCTAAGAAAGACAATGATAATTGATAATTCTCTGAAATACACTATTCTTTAAGAAATATGCAGCCACTTTTTATGCTATTCCTGTATTAATATAGATAAATGTAGCATTAACATTTTGGACACCTTAAAAAATTTAAAAAATTACTTACTGCAAATTTTTTTACTAGTTCAGTAATGTCTTCTAAAATCTCAATTTGACAGAGTTTCTCCATATTTAGCTCATCAAATTGGCAACTGTTAAATGTAGAAAAAAGATGTTAAAATCCATTATGCATTATTATTTATGAAATTCTATACCCCTGGAAATATATAATTTTCTTTTTAAAAAAGGACATTACAACGTATCTGATTTGTTCTATATTTGTATTTGTCTGAAACCACAGGATTTCCTCATTCATTCAATAAGCCCAAAGCTGCAATCAATCAATGGAGGCAATCCTCAGCATACCTGCTATGACAGAATTGCATTCTGGGACTTAATGCATAATATCTTTAGGATTAGTGCTTCAAGCCACTGAAGTTGGTTTCTTACACAATTACTCGTCAATGTCACTCTGAATAACTTGCTCCAATATATTTCTTGTCACTTTATTTCATAATCTGTTAACTGTTTTTCATAAGATGTATAAAACATATATAGGTTTTCTATGTTCAAACTTTTAAAAATACAATGGACAGAATGCAAATAAATATTTGTTTACCTGGGATCAAGGCATTTCTTACTGGGATCACAATGAGGTACAAATAAAAGTGGTCTAAATGTGCAAATTTTAATTATGTCACAGTATTTCTGCAGTTGAAAAACAGGTTTGCTGCACCACATTTTGCAGATATCACCTATGGCATAAAATTGGGGGAAACGGGGCGGGGGGGGGGGCAGAGAAAGACAAAATCAAAAACGAAGTTCTAGTAATCCTCCAAACCCAAGGATCTAACCAGTGGGTGTCAAATATTTTGCTAACTTGTCTTTGTACAACAAGATAACAAGGACTATTAAACAAAACCCAGATAAGAAAACAAGAGAACAAAAAAGGCATTATCAGTTTAAGTACCTGGTTCATGTTTCTTTGGAGAATATTCATGAACTGTTCCACGCATCTAGAAATAACGACATGTTATAAGTACCATTGTAAAAGTGTGAAGCAAAATGAAAAAAGCCCTGAGTTAAACAGTAGTGTTAATTTAAAAGTGGTTGTTGAATGTTCTTCAACCAATACCAAAACAAATATAAAATTGTTCTCTCTTTGCAAACCATCCCCATACCCACTTGGGTATCAAGGCAGACTAACAAATGATCAGCATGCTGAAAAGCTGGTTCAACATTGCATAAACCAGCTAATCTTTTTATTCTTTTCTGGAGAAAGTTTTTTTAAAAATGATATTCCTCCTAGAAACAGGAAAAATAAACTTCTTGTCCAAAACAACTTTTGGTAAACACTAATAAGAAAATGCTAATATACAAAACACTTTCTGAAGTATGCTATACTGCCCAGTGCTGGTCTTCCAATTAACTCATAATGAAGCTTGCTTAGGTTTGCATCAAGACAAGTTCAGTTATATGCTGCCACTGGCTGAGAAAGCATTACCAATAGGCTAGTGTTCAAAATATACTTAAAATCCTGGTTGTATAATTCACATCTGTGATGCCAAACTTTTATCAGAATATCCGTGCAGAGATTCAAATAAAACACATAACTGAAATACACTATATAACAATAGTACTTATTACTTATTTACAGCTTCACAGCGTTTTACAGCTCTCTCTAAGCGATTTAGAGTCAGCATATTGTCCCCAACAATCTGGGTCCTTATTTTACTGACTTCTGAAGGATAGATGACTGAGTTAACCTTGAACTGATGAGACTCGAATTGCAAAACTGCTGACAGTCAGCTGTCAGCAAAATTAGCCTGCAATATTGCAATCTAATCACTGTGCCACCACGCCTCTTAACAGAAATTTCAACCAATAATACATGCACACAGATGTTATTTTTCATTAAGTACTTACCAATTCACAGCATGGCCTGATGTAAGGACTATAAAGTGAGATGTACCTGATCTCTTCAAAAGTAGGATTTTCCATACTGCATGACCTTTAAAATGTAACAAGTCATTTAGAAAAATTGATTTAACAAAAATGCTAATTATCCATAAACGTTTTAGTGAATTTTTGTCAAAAGAAAAATAATTTGTTGCAAAACAAAATTGAAAACATGGTTTTAATAACTTATACAATAAATAAAATTAAAATAATTTAAGTACAACAATTCTAGATTATCAGACATTTATCCAAATCTGTACTTTCCTCGCACCAGTATATGACATACAAAAAATCCTATTGGTTAGGTAGTTGTAAAAATTGACAATTTTATGAAGGGAAATGAAGGGAAGAATCATCCTGCTAGATCAGGAGAAGGACCATTTTATTCCAGTGTTTTGCTTCTCACAGTGACCAGATGCTATGTAGTACTTGGGTGCAAGAAACAATTACATTCTCTTTTCTCTGCAATTGATATTTGGAAACTTGCTTCCTTCAACCTAAAAATAACAGTGAATTTGCAAGCATTTGAAATGTATATTGTCTATGAATATATTCAATATGCTTTTAAAGTGATACAAATAAACAGCCATCAGTACATTTTGTGGTGATAAATTTAACAAATTAAATCTGTACAAAGAATTGCAATCTTTTATCTTTTCCTAATCTTTTTCCAAACAGTACTGTTGAATGACTCCTAATCCTAATGCCCCAAGGATTTTTTTTCCCTTTAGACTTTCTCCTTGCTTTGTGTATTCTCAATTGTCTTCTCTCAATCACACGTTTCTAACCTGCAGACTTACACACATTCTCCTATGGAAGCAGTTTGAGCCTTTTTTTCAATTGTAATGTCAACAACTATACACAGTATTTCAAATGCAGACATACTGCATATTTGTGAAATAACACTATAAGGTCAATGCTTTCACTTTCAATTTCATTTGCCATTTCACTTGATTAGCTAGGTTTGAAAGCTATTTCCAGTGTTTTTCAAAATCACGTTCCCAAAAATATCCTGAAAAAATTGGTACAATTTTTACCTTTGGCCATTGCTTACCCATAAATTGATTTCATCTATGAGCAAGTTAAAAAGCACTAGTCGTTACACACAACCTTGCTGGATTCCTCTTACCGAATGCCTCTTATTCCTTGAATCATAATTGGGGCCACTGAGAACACTATCAGGTCATCGAAGGGAAGCTGGGAGCTCAAAAAGGCAGCTTACTTGGTTCCTGGTCCAGGAGGAATCCTTTGGCGGTTGCTACAGATAAATAATATCAGCGGAGAATAATGTCAGAGGGGAGAACAGAAGTGGCTGCCCTTAAAAAATACGGAGCCTTCCCACGTCTTAGATGAGCTGCATCACAGCATTCATCAGTACAGGAGTTTGCAACAACTGCAGTCCAACGCATTAGGAAAACCCCAGGCTGCCCACAGCGATTGCGAGCCAGAATTTGTACACCAAATAAGCAGATAAGGAAACACTTTTTAATGTACTGCCTGGAGACGGGTCGCGGGCGAAGGGAGCCTCCCGAGATTCGTGGCCCAGGAGCTCAGTCGCGGAGAAGGCTGAACCACCGCGAAGTTTAATCAATGCACGGAGATTTTCTCTCACCGGGGCGACGGGCGAGCTTCTTCTCCACACCGTCTCGCTTCTTTCCCCCGAAAGGAACAATCACCGCCTCACCACGTCACCACCATCCAACACGCTTCCGACTTACTCTGCTTCCTCATTGGTCACTCACTGCATAGACCTTTGCTTTCAAAATGGGACGATAAACCTTGCGCTTTCCGGCTGCGAACGTCATTTCCGGTGCGCTGCAGCTTCCGCCATAGAGAAAAAGCGGCTTTTTTTTTTTTTTAATAGAAAGGTGTATGTGGACCACAGGACTGGTCGTCTTGTAGTCCGCATACAGGAGATGTTATTTTTAACATCATCGAATGGCATGCGAAAAGTTTTCTAAATCGGATTTCTCCAGTTCAAACCCTTCCATATATCTTCTTTGGACAGTTTTGGTATGAACGGTGGACCTACGCTGCTTTTGTAATTCTTATATTAATGGTGATGCAGTGATAATTTTCCTTTTTCTATTATATAAATGGCTTTATTTAAACATATGGCAATACGGAACTGTTTTAATAAAGAACTGAATACAATACATTTTGGACACTTTCCATTATGTTATCATTGATTAGCCCGTTATGATTATTGCAATAGTAGCATTGATAGTGGAGACCACAGTAGAAAAATGCAGAAGAGCGAGGTTAGCTAGCAAAGTACTGGAGCAGTTTAGTAGCTGTATCAGTTGTTTCCAGTTGCTGTCATTTTGGGCATGAAACATTGGCAGGGACGGGAACAGTTGCAAGATGGCTTTTAGAAGCATGTAAGTTTAACAAATCTGGTTAAATATTAATGCTTTTGAACTAGGGAGTGAATTTTAAATTCTGCTACATTATGTATAAGGAAGTGTGTTAAGTCTATAAGAATAATTTTGAAGACCCCTATATATAATTTCAAGTTTTTCAGAAAATAAAAAATTTCAAAATAGCAGTGTGAGACTTCCCCCATAGGGTTTATTTCTTGTAAATTAATATAAAAAAATACCATTTGACCGTAGTTCTCTAGTATCTCTCTCCAACTTGATGCCTTGCAGATTTTTTGGAGGTATGACTCAGCCTTCCATTCTTCCGAGGAACCAGATTGTTGAGGACAAGATGGTGACATTTGTAAACAGCTCAGAGAATGCTATAAAGCAGTGTGGAGCGGTATATAAGTCTAAGTGCTACTGCTATTAAAGCAGAGAGTGTCTTTCTCTTTGCACCTCTGTGAGGAAATCATCCATAATTTGAAAGATTCAAATAATATAACTGGGGGATTTTGGAAAAGTTTAACACAGTAACAAATCTTTTGTGAGATTCTCTATGAAATCTTTATTCTAATCTTTATTGTATAACTATCATGACATTTATAGCTGATTTGTTTTTGTTTTTTTAAAAAGATTTTTAGAATTTAGAATATGCAGAAATCTTAAACAGGAACAATTTTCTCTTCACTCACAGTCACAGTTCTCTTGCTATTGGATATGATTTAAGATTAAAGGTAAGCTTTGAATAAAAAGATAGAAAGTCCTTTTGCTGCTGGCTAGTCACCTCAGTAAGAGCAGTTTATTGCAGTGTATCATGTGTGACCTTATTTGCTGTAAAAAAACCTCTTCGAATTCCGACCATTATTTAAAATTCAAGAAATAACTGAGAGATTGAAACTGTAGCTGACAGGAAAAAAAACATTAGAGATGACTGATCTATTGGATATTGAAAATAGTAAATTACTTATGATTATCTATTATAAATTATTTGAATTTGCAGCCAGTTGTCTTGCATCTAGCTAGATGTTAAGCTAATTTCCAAATGTCTGACGGAGTGTTCTTTGAAATTTGAAATGTGTATATCCTAAGTAGAATATTAAAAGGGGATTAGTATCCATGTATTTTTTGAATACCATAATTTCATTTCTTTGGCCACATAGAAGTTTTATTTTCAAGTACTTTGAAAATTGAAATTATTGATAACCATAGTTAGGTTAACATAAACTAATTGTTTCCCCTTTTTCCTTTTCTTTTAAAAAAATAAAGGCATCAGTATGGTTGAAAATTCACCAGCCCCATTGCCTGAAAGAGCTATATATGGTTTTGTTCTTTACTTGGGCTCTCAATTTGCCTTTAGTAAGTAAACCATTTAAACCCAATACTTTGAATGTTGTGATACAATAGATTTCATATTACATCACAAGCAAGATAGTAATATGTATGTTGGCTGTTGCAAATTGTTGTCTTTTCAACATTGCCTCTGCTGCAATTGAAATGTTTGTAAAGGTTCAGCGAGTTAGTGCAATGTTGCATGTGATACCCATACTGAAAGTAAGAGTCATAGCCCTGAAGGTGTTCCACATGAGAGTAAATTATGTTGAATTAATTGCTTCTAATTAAAGATAGACAAAATCTCAATGGTCAAATGGCATGTTAGATGGCTGACAGAATATCATGTGTGTGTGTTTATTTAAAAGACCTTGGTTACAGATAGTCCATGATTTAACATCTATTCATTCAGCAACTGTTCAGTTACCACAGCCCTGAATTAAGAGATTTACACCCAGTCCTTGAAGTTCAAGATACTGTAACTCCGCTGTGGTCACATGATAAACATTTGAGCCCATTTTACAGCAATGCCTTGATGATGATCTTTTGGCCATCTGCCTACCTGGAGCTGCACCCACTTTACCGTGCGGCACTACTATACCAGCTCAGGCCTTGTTTCACATCGATACAGCTGGGGCTTCTCTCTTGCCATACACAGGGTCTTTTTTCACATGCTAGGCATATTTCATGAAAGCCTCTGGGCGGGTCATAAATAGAGATGTGTGGGCATGACATAAGAGAAATCCTGGCTAAAGTCTTGGCTGCACAGGCCAAGAAAAGGCAGCATGAAAGAAGGTCCTGGCAATGTGGTAGTGGTGCAATAGATAGGCTAGCAGCCAAAAGGGCAGAGATTTGGGGAGGAGATAACAGATGGTGGGAGTCCAAGTGGATGTACAGGAGGCAGTCCCAAACCTTGCTGAGGCTTGGGGTTGGGATATCCACAATATTCAGAGAAATTAAAGAACTATATCTTTTAACGATAATACTGACATATATATTGCCATCAAAATTAACCACTACCATTTTAAAACTTTTAATGTATCCTGTGCCTCCCCATAAGCAATATACTAGAGGGAGTGTAGCAATATTGACCTCATCCCTTTCCTAAGAAGTCTGTAGGGGGCGTGCATAAGCGCACCAACGTGCCTGCCGTGCCTGTCCTATTTCTTTTATTATTTTATTTTGCTTATATGTATCCATGTATTCATAACTATGTTTTTACTTATACCTATTATCTTGTAAGCAATTGACAAAAATAAAATAAATAAATAAAAATATTTCAAAATCAGAAAGCCCTGAAGTGATAAAATTACACACGTTCCTCATATACAGTTCTAGGCAAAAATGTAGGCATACCTGGTCAAATTGCATGTTTTCATTTATACCTAAATGAATAGAAGCTGATTCCAAAATTGACTCAGCCTTTATCTTGTAGAAAGTTAGGCTACATTCTTTCTGAAAAGTTGGATGCGTACATGCATATATATTATTTATCTTCATGCAATTGTAGCTATGAACACTCACAGCTATTTTCTAATCCATATCCATACAAAATAACCACAAATGAGCCAGAAATGCTGACTCCCTATATCAGAGATAAAATTAAATCAGCTCTTTTATTAAGAAATCTTATTTTAATTTACTTTATTTAATTTAATTTAATTTACTGAGAAATCGCTAACTTACCCTCAAACCAATTATGAATATGATTATTAAAATGATTCTTACATTATATGCTTGCCTTCTTTGTGGAAATAATATAATTCACCACTATATTTAATTTTTTGCTTTTTTTCTGTGTGCTGTATCTATATGGATATATGTAGTTCTGTATATTGTGTGGTCCTACATACCTGAATCCTGGCTGTTCTCGTTGGGCTTAACATACTGGCCTCAAAAGTAAGTTCTTAATAACACTTTCATTAAAGGTTTTCCTATTGAATCTACTGAATGATTTTATAAATGCTATGTATATTTTAACAATGCAGGTAATCCTCAACAGTTCATTTAGTGACCGTTTGAAGTTACAATGGCACTGCAAAAAAGTGACTTATGACTATTTTTACACTTATGACATTGCACCATCCTCTGGTCATGTGATCAAAATTCAGACACTTGGCAACTGATTCATATTTATGACAGTTGCAATATCCTGGGGTGATGTGATCACCTTTTGTGACCTTCTGAGTTAATGGTAAAGCCAAATTCACTTAACAACTTCAACAAGAAAGGTCATAAAATGGGGCAAAACTCAACTATCTCATTTAGCAACAGAAATTTAGGGCCCAAATATGGGCGTAAGTCAAGGATACCTGTATAACCTTGTATAAGAATCATCTCTGCTGATTCAGAAGAGTCATCCATTTAATTTACCATAATATTTCCAGTTGAATTGTAAAGGTACTTTTCCCACTCCCAGTCCCCCTCTTCATTATGTATGTGACTTCTGATTCAGGACTTATGTGAAAATTGAGAGCATATGTAATGTTGAATGTGGCTTTTAAGTATGAGTAAAATTATGAAACTAAAAACCAAACAACCAGGACTGTGACCCTGAAAAGAAGAACAGATAACAAAAACCAGACTGTTATCTTGTCTATGATATAAAAAATAGCAGCATATGGTCACAAATAAATGCCATGGTATTGGTATTTAAAATGAGATTGGTATGGAGTCCTCAGTATTCTCTGAGCTTGGTTGTTCACTTGCAGATGTGTTATTACATGACTAGGTAATAACCATGCACACGGAGAACCAGGGACTTCACTGTTCAACCCTGAGCTGAATATATTTTCTTCTATCCCTGATCCCTTACTGATCACAGTAAGATCACCCCTTAAGTTTTATCTGAAATATTCCAGTTCTAGAAATCATAATATGATTTACATTATTTTCTTAATCATTTATGTGTAACAACCCAAAGATATATAATCTGTAACCTTGTGTTTAGGGGCTCTTTTGCAGTCCTTTGGTGAAAAGAAGGGGAACCTCTTTCCATTCAAAGTGTACTACTAACACAGTTCTAACTAAACTTTCTACATTCTCAGAATTTTGAATTAAAGAGCCCGATGATTTTAGACTTTCTTTCCAAGCAAACTGTTCCATTCCATTATCATGTTGCTAATTCTCTTCTTTTTCTACTATGCTATGATATGTTGATAGTTGTTTTATTGCGATTTGTCATATATACGAAGCACTATTTCAAGTATTGTTTCTACTTCCTAGATTCTGGGCTACTGCATTGCCTGTGTATCTTTTAGTTGCTGTGGGAATAGGCTATGTACTCCTCTTTGGTATTAACATGATCAGTACAGCTCCATTGAATTCTACAGACACTATAACAGGTAAGCACGAAAACTACAAAAATATACCTAGAACTGTTTGTAATGTACTCTTAACACTTTATTGTGAGATGAGCACGCTAATCTCTCAAGTATGTGGGTTTTCTGCTTTATGTTGCATTGTTTGCATCATTATGTTTTAGATCAGAGAGCCAGTTTGATCTAGTGGTTAATGCATCAGATTAGAAAGCAAAAGACCATGAATTTCAGTCCCACCTTAGCTATGTAAGCCAGCTGGGTGACTGGGCCAGTTATTCTCTCTCAGCCAAACTCAGCTCCCAGGGTTGTTGTTGTGGGGAAAATAGGAGGATGAAGATGTGTTAGATATGTTTGCTGTCCCAGCGTATTTGTAAAAATAATAAAAGTGAGATATAGAATAAATGAATGAATGAATAAATGAATGGCTTTTCATAATAAAGTTTCCAAAGTTATAATGTATTGATTGTAATGGCAAATACAGATACTGTGAAGGTTATAAATGCAGGCACTGGTCACAAATTTACCTTTTCATCACCACTGTAGCTGCAAATGGTTGGTGCCAGAGATAATAATAATTTCTTGCATTTTCAATACATTTCATCTCATCAAACAAAAAATGAATTTGTGACTTTTAAAAATCTTTTACAGATCACTATGCAAAAAATCAAAAGCAGAAAATACCACAAGAAGAAGCAATTCCTGCATTAAGAGATATTCCTATCAATGAAGTAAACAAAATGTTTTTTCATAGTAGGAAAGAGAATTAGTCTAGAGGCTCATGTAAGAAAGTATTTAAAATTTGTTCTCATGAAACACGATATAGAAATATTGATAATAGGGTGCCAAAACACTTGACTTCAGACAGCTTGGATAGATTAGCCATAAAATAAGACTGTAATAGTTAAATGGTGGAGCCTCTTAGGGCATTGTATTTCCACAACTTTTGATTCATTCATCCTTAGTCCAGATTGCTTTTTTCTTATACATTGCAGATACAGTTTTTCATTTGTTCTCTCCTATAGCTGATACTGTATTCTAAATTATTTGAGGACGGTAGTTTCCACGTGAAGTTCTATTGACAAATCCTGCTATGTATTTTCTATGTCAATATAGTATATTCACATGACAGTGAATTTAGTCACTTCTCAGTAGTGTTCTGTTTTGTATATTAGCTAGACTTTGTATTATTTAAGGATACATTCCAAGAACTGATACATAAAACTACCAAATGTGGTGGCTGTTTCTTTTAACAAGGTACACCATGTAAAATTAAGATCATGTTTATTATAAAGCAGCTTAGATAAGTGCATAATAGAAAAGTTATGCTGGATTAAGCCCAGAATCATTACCCTTAGATGTTTAGATGTGATTTTTCTTCCATGTGCATAGAAAAATTAGCTAAAGTAAGCAAAGTTCAGATTTTTAAAGTTATAGATACTGAATGTATTCCAATGTGAAAGTAATACTATAAATAATTCCAATTGAAATGCAGACCTCAGTCTTGAATGTAATTGCTTCATAACTAGTCATATTTATATGCATACATATTAAGAACCCTTTAACAATTAAAGACATTTTCTTTACTCGCTGTATACATTTATTTTGAGTTTTATTCTTCAATCATGGTTAAAATAAATTTTGGAGATGTCACAAGAATATACTGCAGTGAATTAATATATATACTTTCATCAAAAAAGCTTGGAACACTTATTCTTATTTTAGTTTACTTTGTATGTTGGTATATAAATAATAGACAGCATAATTCTTTTTACAATTCTGTGTGGGTCTACACAGATGAATTCTATTCCTAAGTAAATGGTTATAGAATTACAAGCTTATCAAGTAAGAGAACATAAAAGAGATGAGAGAAAAACTGGAGTTATGATTCCCCACCTAAAGTTGACTGGAAAAGCAGGTCATTTAGCTACAAAGGAGCAAACGTACTTAGAATGTAATATTTAAACTAGTTTTTCTATCCTAAACATGTAGACTAGAATCAGAGTTGGAAGGTACCTTTGAGGTTTTCTCGTCCAGTCCTCTGCAGAATCCAACAGACCATTTGGCAGGTAATCACTCAGTCTTTGTTTGAAGAATCTTTTTAAAAAAAGGAAAACTCACTTTTTCATGTGGCAGACTGTTCCACTGATTGAATTCGATCACAAACCTCTTAATATTTTTCCCGAACCTCCTTTGTTGTACTTTTAACTCATTTCTACTAGGGCAATAGAAATAAATATCTCCCTCTGGGAGAATCATCTTAAGAGTTATATCTCCCTCTGGGAGATATTCTGTGTGATAATAACTCTTAAAATTATTTTTCTATTTATGATACTCTTTCAAGAGTGCTATCATTTTTCCATTTGTATTTTCCGTAGGCTAATACTGTATTCCCAGATCTTTTAATCATTCCGCACAGGCCTTAGTTTCTAGATTCTTCACCATCTTGGTAACCATCTTTTTTTCCCCCCAATTTGTCACTGTTCCATTCTAATGCCTAAATCCTGTCACAGCATTCCAAATGGGTTCTGACCAAGGTAGAACAGGGGCGACAAATATGATGTAAGGTTAAAAAGACATAATTCAGGTACAAGTAGTCCTCAGCTATTACAATTGGGACTGGCAATTTGGTCACTAAATAATGTAAAAACTAAGTGAGATTGTCAGAGTGCTTATGATATTACTTCATCTTTCCCTTGATTTAGAGACCTATAAAGGTTGTAAATGTGAGGATTGGTTGCAAGTTACTTTTTCATCATCGTAGTGATGTGAATGATTGCTATTCAAAGCAGTTGCTGAACAAGCACTACTTGTAGAGTCAACTATGGATTTATTTGGTGCTGTCATTCCACTTCAACATTAACTTAGTGTTTCTAAAGTTGAATTAGTTTCTTGGAGGAAAGATGGAACATTTATCTAAATCTTGGTATTCATCCAGAATAAATGCAATCTAAAATACAAAAAAATATAAATCAATTAGACTTTGTATACCTAAATGATTTTGTTTCAGTTTTATGAAAAGATTCTCTTTGGGACAGATATAAGACCCAGATTTGTTGTTTTAAAGGAGAAAATAGCCATAAGAAATGTTTAAGATATATTTTCCACCAATATAATCACAATGATTTCTTCTGGAAAGGTTATAAATTAGCAGGAATGAAATATATTTTGATTATGGGTGGTTTTCTTCTCAATTTCTAATTCATTGTTAAAAGATGTGGCTTTTTTCCAATGCATTTCCTTCATTGAAAAAGTCTTTACTGTTGGTGACTTTATGTATCATTTGTTGCGAAGCTATTCCTCAACAAATGCACATTTTGATAACTTACAATTCTGTCAAAAACTTTCCTCTGAATCCATTTTTTGCAGCCTTCCATCTGTAAAAAAGAAACCAGCTTCAGTAGGGGACCTTCACTTTTTTAATCTTTATCTATATATCATTAAAACTTTCATTGTATTTTTCTGTTTGTATCCTAGTTTATGAATTAAGGTACCTAAAATCTGCTAATTTAATGCATAAAACATCCAGGGCCCACTATTTCTGTGGAATTAAAATTTCCACGATGGTCACATCAGTTTTACTCACAAAATTGTGATTGTTGTAGCATCCCCATGGTCATCTGATTATGATTTCTAATGCTCCCTGCCATCTTCCCACAAGCAAAGTCAATGGGGAAGCTAATAGAAAGTTGGAAGCCCTCCCGCTGTATTGTTTTTTGCACATCCCTGGTCATTCTGTTTTCTATTTAGGTAAGTAAATATTAACTTTTTATTGAAGTTCATTTGCAACAATTATTTTTCTATTATGAAATATATTTAGATGATCATGGAACCATTCAGTATTCTGTAAGAAAAATGTGGTCAGTCTAAATTGCTATTCTGTGGATAAATGAGAAATCTGCTTTGAAAGAAACAGGAAAGGCACTTCTGGTATCAGACTAGCAAATGAGATGTGCCCATGATATTCCCACTGGTATGGTTTGGTTCTCTGGCATTTGCATAGATTATGTTTTCATGTCCTGAAAACAAACTGCCAATTTTTCTGTAGAACTTCTCCCAACTTTATTTAGCTTTACAAATCGAATAAATGTAAACATGTTTTATGTCTGCATATGGGCTTGTTACGTTCTTTCTCACAAGAAGAGTATATCGTATTATTTACAATCTATAAAGGTGTTCTTCCTTGGAAGAATGTTTGACTGCATTTTATTTATTTACATTTCTATGCCGTCCATCTCCCCTACAAGATGATGCGGCATTCCCAGTCCCTCAGGTCGGCGCCTCCTAAAACAAGGTAGTTATATACACCAGACAAGACTCGTTATTGACAAAGGTGAAAGAAATCTTAATGCGTAGCAGTAAGGTTGAGGCAGAGACAGAAAGGCGAAACAGAAACTAGGAAGGTGCTAGCAAGGAAATCGCCGTCCTTAAGTACTTCCCCCCCCCCCCCCTTCGAAACGGGAGACTTTCCCCCCATGGAGCAGACCCATCAAGAAATCGGGCCCGAGGGAACCTTTCGGCGGGCCTAAGACCGAGTGGGAGGAATACGATTTCTGGCCAATCAGCACCGCCTTTGACTTCGCGTGAGGAAGAGCGAGAGAACCAATGGGGAAGCGGTGGCGCGGCGACATCGCTGCTCTTCACTTTGCCGAGAAGTTGGTGCAGGGATGGGGATCGGGCCGTGAGCGGCCTTTCGCAGTCGCCGGCAGCTCCCTCCTCGCGTCATGCTTATCACTCTCTGCTACTTATACCTGTGGGCGCGCTGGGGGCCTTATTCCGCTGGGCTCATACGGCGCACAGTGCGCCGGCTGTACCGAACCAGGTGTTCGTTTACGTTCTGCTCTTCCTCTGGCTGCGGCGGCTCCTCCTCCTCCTCCTCCTCCTCCAGCTTCGGGTGTACTCGCTTCACCTTGCATCAGCAGATCCCCCACCTTCCGCTTTGCAAACAGGAGGCGGCCGGCCTCTCCGACGAGATCATTTGCCTCAGGGTGGGCGACAAGGTTTTCTTCACTGGCGAGACTCAGGTGTGATATGCAGTGGCAGAGAGTCGACCAGGGAGGGCTGGGCCTGTCGTGAGTTGCGTGGGAAGAGAAGTGGGTGTGGATGAGCGAGGGTTAGGGGAGTGTTGCTGGCTCACGCCCGCATTTATTAGAGAGGCTGAAAACTTTCACTCGTTCTTTCACCTGTTCCTTGGACAGGTCCGAGGTAAGCAGGAAATACCAGATGAAGCTGAATGTATGGCACGAGCCACTGATACTTTATGAAGTGTTCAATATATGGCTTTAGCTTGTCTGTTTTCCTGCTTTGAAAATTTCCCAAGGCAGCTTGCACATGGATGTAGAGGTATCATAATTTAGGGACACTTGTTATTAAACAAGTGACAAGATAGCAGAATTTCAAAACTGTTTATCAATTGAAATCTCAAGAAAAGTAGGTTTCAGCAAAAGTAAGTGCCAATATGTATTTTTTTAGAGTAATGGACTGGAATGCCATTCCTTTAAAATCCTTGACTGTTGAAAACATCAAATTATTTTACAGATTGCATAACATTCTCTATTCCCATTGGTATATGTGCCCAATAAATGTATGTAGTCATAAATATGCTTGTGTACATGTGTGTTTTATTTATGTATTAGTGTAGAATGTCTCTTTGTTAAATGTTTAGTGTGTGAACTTACCATGATATTTGTAATAAAGAGAAAAGTTATCCTTCTAACCTGATCAACCAGAAATGTTGATTGCCAATTCCCATAATTAGCAACCCACGTTTTACTGCTAGGGGAATGTGGAAAGAAGTGCAATGCATCTGGGAAGAGTACAGTAGGTATTGAACAGAACACTGAGAATATTCCAAATATATTTTCTTATCATGGGGAAATATTTTGCATCTTGAATATCCATAAATAATGCATAGCAAACAAAAACAACAACAAAGTTACAATTCATGTCCCTACTCTTCCCATAAGATGCAATAATTATGGCTTGGCATATCCTAGGAACTTGTAGGTAATAATTATGCTGATTTCCCAAGATCAACATTACATAAACGTATGTACAGATATACGTTTAAAACACATAAATTGGAATGTTATTAAGCACAATTATAGACATATTAGTCATTCCCGAAGATCCATGCACTGAATTACAATTTGGTTTGTATTTATCACTTTCCCCCAAAATTTAAATCCAGAAATCTCATATATTTGACAGAAACTGCAACTTTTTTAACAATGGTAAATTGCAGATGAGTTATAAGATTTTCAAAGGTTACAGTTCACTTCTATTTTTGCTCAATTATGTGTGTGTGTGTGTGTGTGTCTTTGAGATTACTCTTACATAGCAATATTCAAAACTTGAACAGTGGTGGCAATAATATTGTGAAAAATAGCTCAATAAAGCAATAAAATGTTGTGATTCAATGTATTAATAATAATGTAGCTAAAAGCCAAGAATTAAATTGTAAAGTTACCAAAGTATTAGATTAATTCTGATAAATTATGTAAGTTTGAAGAATTCAGGGATATATTAAGGTTACCATATTTAATATGTGTAGATTGAGAAAATGGTTAAATCAAAATCTAGAGGATCAGAAAGTCCTGTTCCTATGTACATTTTTTTCTGCCCGAATAATTTTTTCATCTTTATTTTTTCCTGCTCACGTAATTTATTTTCTGTCTTAGATTATATCATTAGCTTAATGTTTGTATCACATGGTTGCAAGATCACTGCACTCACTTAATTCTTAAAGCAAAGCTATTGATGCATGATATAACCAAGTTTTGTTGTTTGTCACCACTTTGTCTCTGACCCTAACATTGATTAGGGCTGAAAGAGAGTGACCAACCCAAGGTCCCTCTGGTGACATTCATGTTAATGGAGACCTAGAAATTGGATCTTCCCAGTTAGCAGTCATCTCTTCCCTAAATGACTAAATATTTACATTCCACAAAGGTACTATTTTATTTTAATTATTTCAAAAACACCAAAAGTCTTAATATTTCAAATTTATATATATATTTTAAATTAAGTTAAATGTTTATTCAGATTTTTGCTGTTGACTTTATGTTCTTTAAATTGTTTAAGATAGGTAATTATTTGATTTCTTATAGGATGAAGAATCAGTCACCAGATAGCTTTTTCTGAACTGTTGCTCAGTTCTTTTTTAGCTTTAAATTGTCATTTGATAAAATTAGAAGAGTAAGAAATGGGAGACATGTGTGTTTTTTAAGGACATGTTTGATAAGCATCTCTGAAGCAGTTATGTCATGTTCAGAAGTAAATCACACTGTGGTTGATTCGGTTTACTCCCTAGTAGATACTCTTTTATTTGCAACCACGTCTTTATTTCTAAGTTACAATTCAAACAGGAACTATTTGAAGTTAGAAGTATTTTACAGAAATGGTGGTAGAGGAAATGAAAGGGTCACTACAGACATGGGTAATCTACCCCAAACTATATTTATTGTAGTATTAATGTTGAACTATTTCACACTGTTATTTGGCAGAAGCAAAACTGAAAGCTTCTAGCAGGTATACTTAAATACTGACCATTCAGAATGGGTTTGATTCTAAGATTTTCCTTGCATATGAAATGTATTTTTGGTTAACATTAAAATTGATTCACCTTTCTAACCATTTAAACTGCTATAAAAGATGTCTGACTGAATAAATACTTCTGGAATTATCCAGATTTTGTAAACTATAACACGTTGCATTTTTCTAAAATTATATAGTTGATTTAAGCCACCTTTTTTTCTTTTCAGTCCCTTGATGATTTAAACAAATGGACATTATTTATTGTATCACATTTTAGTTATTTGGAACAAGTAGTTGAAGATGAACATATTACATTTGTAACTGAAGGTATTTTCATTCAAACAAGTAGTTCACAAGCTGTAAGTTGCTCAGCAAAAAAGGTAAGTCTTCTTTAAAATACTTTTACTAAATACTTTTGCTAATAAGTCTTTAAACTAATTTGAAGTACTGACTTTTTTTTTAAAAAGCCAGTTTAACTATTCCCCAGTTCAAAAGTATCTAGGAACTTCGTAAAAGCTTGATAATAGCTTTTTGCATAGCTTTTATGAAAGATGAGTCGAGCCTCCATAAGAAATTTATAAATCTGTTAATTCCTAATCCCGTATTTCCTTCTCTGTTCTCTATTTTCTCATTTACCATGAACAATATTAATTTGAATTTCTTAATTTAAATTTATTATTCTTCCCATTGGTTTTTCATTAACCATGGGTATAATTTGGAACATGACTTGGTAGATGTATTTAATCTCTTAACTTAATTTAGAAATTCCATTAATGGTAGGAATATTAATTTTACAGTGCATTTCAATATTCTAACTGTACATGTATTAATATGAAAATTATTCTCTGTATCTTTCTTCAGATTGTGAAATGGTCAGATTTTTGTTCTCCTTTGGCCTTTAAAACTGGAAAGCCTTACATATTATTTGCTGAAGCCAGCATAGATAATTTTAGTAGCCTTGGGATAGCATTCTTAGAAGACAGACTCCAAATGGATAATGGAATGGTTCCTCAAAAAATTGTCTGTAAGTATACCCATTTTTATCCCCAACAAAAGTATATATTTACATGGCATGTAAACTATTCTCAAATTCAGAGCTTCATCATTCTTTGCAAATTCACCGTGCTTTGATACCTATCAATTAGAAGTCCATCTGATGCTGATGGTATCCTCTTCTCACCCCGCCACCTCCCAGAAATTTGCAATAGGCATGGAAAGGATAGAAAAAAGGCCATTTGTGTAACACTGAATTATAAATCATTATGACTAATATTTATCACATGTATGTGGTTATGTATTTAAGACTGAGTCTTAACCACTATTGCTCAGGAATATGTAATCAGCTTCAGAAGAACTTGCCTATGACTTTATTCCTCATCATCCCAGGGGGGAAAGTACCAATCAAATAACGGGATTAACTTTTGATTTGGAAGTTGAATTTTTTTACATATATCATAATATATAATAGATTGTGAAGTTCTTCTTAGACAAAAAGCACTGCTTAAGAAAAAGTGTCTTTGTCATTTGCTGGCCCAGAAGGTCTCCTGCCAAATTTGTGAAGCACATTTAAATGATGCCTAATTCCAAGGTCAAATATGCTTAATTTCCATGCTTCTGTTGACTTGTACAATGATCGAAGGCAGCATAACATGGGTTGAAATCCTTCTTTACTATCTCTTCTTTGAGCTGCAGTATGCCCACTTTAGTATCGGTGGGTGTTTGCTAATTTCTCCTGAGTTATTATCACCTGTGAACAGACTTGAGTGGGGATAACTGTATCTGATCTTTCAATTTATAAGTTGTTAATGGAGGGGTGTATGTTGACTGAGTGAAGAACCAGTGCCACAGTCTCCTCATTGAGCTAGGAAGGAAACTCTGCCCCCAAATAAGTTATTCCATACCTGATGCAGGGCCATATTTGCTACAGTGCCAGTTGGAGCAGGCATATGAATGAAATCCAGTCTTCTTCCAGATGTTTAAGTCTTAAATAATAAAATCTGGCCTAGAACCTCCTTTTTCTGTCTCCATCCCTCTGATTACTTATTTGCTTCATCTACTCAAGTTTTTTTTAAGGCTGGGATATTTACAATTCTCAAACTTGAAATGGTTTGTTGAGTTCACAAAATATATTGTCAAAAGCGAACAAGCCAGCTAATGTGGTGGTATAGTTCATGTTTTAGATTTGAGTTTGGGAATACCCAGATTCAAATCTGTCCACAGTCATAGTATTTTGGGCTAGCTGCTCTCTCTCAATCAACCTATCTTATAGGGTTGTTATGAAAAAAAATTGGAGGAGGGAGTGCTAAATACATCTTCAGCTCCAAGGGGAAAGACAAGATAGAAATCAGTCAATTAAACATTATTATGAGACAGAAAGCAGTATATAACCCCAGTCTATGTGTAATTAAATAGCACAATTTCATGAAACATTTTATCTATGCCAAAGTGCAGATAAAACAATTTACCAGGAACAATTTATCAGAGAACTCCAGAACATTCCATCTCTATTGGAACCATGCTAAACATCTTTCTGAATCATCTTTTTCTGGGAGCACTTCAGTGGTTTCCAGAAATAAATTATCCATCCCAGATACCCTTGAACAACTTTCATTTCAGAGAAATTTAGGAGCATCTCCCATTAATAGTATGGTTCAGAGTTTTAGTATGTCCCATTCATAAATTGATGAATATAGTACATTTATATCTGTGCATAAATCAAAGGAGAAAACAATTAATTAAACATTTGCAGAAATGTAATGTTAAGTTGCATTACGAACATACAAGAAGTAAAATGCACTCAGATCTACACAAATGCATTTTAAGAGTAGATTATCAGTTAAAGTTTATATTAAAGGCAGAATTATTTAGTGCTGCTATGTTTGTGTTTTGTTTAATAACTTACTTAACATGTATTAGCTGTAAACCTGAAGAAATCGGCCTTGAAAGAATTAAAACTGGCTCCAGGTACCAAAGAGGAAGAAAAGACGGGTCAGATACAGACTAGTGAACTGTCACAAGACTCACTTTTTGAAAATATTGATAAATCTCATGTGGAAACTGCTGATTGTGCAGGAAGTGGTGATCAAGAAATGCACCAAGAGAAATGCAGACTGCAGAAAACAAATGGATATCATGAGGAACTTGAGCAATTATCTGAAAAGGAAGGAGATGCTTCAGAACATCATCACCTACATCTTTCAAGCTGCCATGAATGTTTGGAACTGGAGAACAGTACAATCGAGTCAGTTAAATTTGCCTCAGCAGAAAACATCCCAGATCTTCCGGATGATTATAATGGCAGTGTAGAAGAAGTTAGTGGAAACTGTATAACAGGAAATATGCAAAGAGAAAATTTGACTGGAAAGCCTCCTAATATTTTAATTTATCTTGGTTCTGATTCTAAAAAAGTGAAATTTGAAGAAATAAAATCAGTCATAATGGATTGTGTTGATATTAATGCTTACACCATCTACCAGTTGTTAGAGAAACAAGTTCTGACTGTTCCTTGGATTGACAATGCATTGCTTCTGATCATTGCTGAATCAGAACCCATTTCAGGTGCTGTGTCTAAACAGTTTCTAGCTTTCATGTCAAAAGGTGGGAAGATTTTGGGGCTTTCTTCCACTTTCACATTTGGTGGTGTAAAAATAAAGAGTAAGAATGAAATAATGGACAAGATACAAACATTAGTTTTTTCAAAAGATAAGAACAATGAGATAAAATTAAATGCTCTAGCTAGTGGAAAAAATTTTGAGGTGGACATTTCAGAAAAACTTAATCCCATGAAGACACTTGGTTATTTTGACAATCCGGATAAAGATATGATGATTGTTCATTTATCATATGGAAGTAATGGAGGAGAAGCAATTCTTTCTCAGGTACAGTATAAATAAGTTCTCATTTTGTTTGTTATTTTTCATATATTTCTTAAATAGTGTTGTTTGCAGAATGATGGTAAATGGTAGGCACAATGTTGGGTAACAGCCTATGCAAGCTAGTGTTAAATGTATTAGACATTTGGTGAATGATGGTTTGGATTCAAAATACCTTTTCATAAACTGAAAGCACTTCAATGTTTCAAAATAAGTGAGAAATATATCATTGACTTGTTTGGCTGTGGGTCTTTGTACACCTTGCATATTGTTATTCTGAAGGGTCCTTTAACTCCTGGTGGTAATTTGGTAGTTGAAATAGATTATAATGAGAAAGGAGAGATTGAAAAGCCTTATGTGTATATGTATGTAGGTAGATAGGGTGAGTGAGTGAGTTCTTGGGAAATTGAAAGTAATTGTAAGGTAAGTAGAAATCTGATGTATGCCATTCCTATTTATTCTTCTTTCATGGTAGGATTGTATGCTGAATTTTCAGCTGATAAAAAGATGGTATTTCAGTAGCATGATTTAAGTAGCAAACTTTATATACAGATGGCCTACACTATCCCCATTTTCATGTGACATAATTGATAGAGACCAAACCTCAATATATATGTTAAAAGGTTTCCATGGATCTATAACCTGAGCCTTATTTTTTGTTACTTTATCCTGGCCCAAAACTATGGATAGACTTTTATACTTTTGTAAAGTATTTTGTTTAAGGTTAGATTTAAGTTATACCATGCACCAAAGAAACTAGTGTGAGGCACATGATGAACAACCTGCTCTGAATAAGGCTAACTGCTGCTAGGGATCCATTTAGAGCCCTACAACTGGGAACACCTAGCTAGTTAAATGTATTATTCCAATCATTAACCAGTACAAAGGAAATCATTATGCAATATCTTCATTTGGGAGGACAAAAAGGAACAAATGCACATGACTACTCTGGGAGGAAGAAAGCACCATAGGCTCACCTAATCCCATAATTCTTACAGACTCAATTTTGTTCTTCCTTGTTTTTCACTAAATGGAAACCTCATGAATAATTAGGACCACTGTAATGTTTTAAGTGGATTCTAGTTAAATTGAGGCAACAGTGTTAAAAAAAATTAACAAAAAACAATGATACTATTCCTTCTTATAAAATTATCGCTGTTGCCTTTTATATTGCCTCAACATTTAGATGCAATTTTATTAATAATGTTTTATTAATAGTTTTATTTAGTTACCGCACATACTTGTGCATAAACTGAGAATTTTAGGTGCCAAAATATATCCAAAACATTGAGTTAGATTGATCCACAAGTATATAAGTTAATACTTTTTAAAGTACCTTTATATTCCATATATATTCCTATATAAGCCCATCTATAGATAACACAACTCTGAAATTTTTAATAAAAATACCATGAAAAATAAGGGCTAGCTTATCTGCAAATGGGGTAATGTGTGAGTATATACAATAAGTTTAAATGGTTATTTAATAGCTGAAGTGATACAAATTGAAACAAATTGATTTGAAAATGATTGTAAGTTATTTGACCCAATAGATAATTATTGATCATAGTTTTATGATCAATAATTAATTTTCAATAAAAAATATTTTCAATGAAAAGTATGTTTTTTTCTGCCTTGCCTTTATAGGCACATTTGGAAGTGAATATCAGAAGTTTATGTCGACCTAAAAATGACTTCGATCTGCTCAAAATAAGCAACATCAGAAGATATGATGTACTTGTTGAAATCCTGAAGCTACTGGGGTTGAGCTGTGAATTAAGTACTATTCCTTCTTTAACGCCTCTTTATCTACTCTCATCTGATAAGGTAGGTTTTGGTTTAAATAATAAGAACATAGGCAGTGCCCGGCTGGACTAGTTAGTAATCCTTCCTTGCATCAAAGCTATCCACTGCTTATACTATTCACTACTTTTCAGTTTGCGTCCGTGTGTCTTAACAATTACTCCATCCATTTGCTCATCTTTTATAAACATAATAATTAATAAAAATTTGTCTGAAAGAACTATATTGTAGAAGACATTTATGAGCCATAGAAGCCATTGTTAATAAGCAGAAATTAATTTTGGAAATGATGAATAACTAAGCAATTTTGTGATGCAGATTTCTGAACTATATCATTAAATTGATTTTACATCACTGAAACAGATTTCAATCTGTAAAAACATATACCCTTAATATTTTTTGAAAGATGCAGCATTAGTTGGCTGTCCATTTTTTTAAAAATATTAGATTTACATATTTCATGGTATTATTAGAAATTTATAAAAGATATGATTGGAATTTAAGCAGTTCATATTGTGTTTGTTGAAAACACCACAAGATGGCACTTCTGAGCTGCCTTAGAATATAATTCTATGTTGTATGTGTATGTTTAAAATAACTAATTTCTACAATTAGATTTAGTTTTAATATTATTTTTTAAAAAATAATAATATTTAATCAGACATTGCATTTACACGTTTGAAAGTTTGAAGTAGCTCAAAAATTTTAGAAAATGTTTAAGTCAAACACATGCTATGTTACGTAGTCTTAGGGAATTTTCATACTAAACAAAAAAGGGTTCTGTAATTAAATGACTGAATCTACAGGAAACTGGAGTTTTAAACTTTTGCTCTAAAAAGCCGTCTGGGTGTTCACACCTAGTCCTACATTTTGCTTTAGACTGGTGGTTTACAGTTCTATTGCCATCATCTGTCTTCTAGAGGCACCTCACCTAGTTTCCTTCCATAACCATGGCATTTCAGAGAGAGATTTCATATCCTTTGCTGCCTATTTGTTATTAAAAGATGAATGAAATGGAATATTTAATAATGTCACCACCCTGCCATGTAATAGAGGCATGTTACTAGTACAAGATTAACATTGGGAGATAAACCAATATCACCAGAGATTAGCAAAATCACATTTTATTTATAAAGAACAAAATATAAGATTTAAATATTAACATACAAATTGTGAATATCGGTAAAGAAATTACATAGTTTCCTATATCAGTAATACAGCTGTCTGTTTAAAAAGAAAATTCCAAACATCTTTCATAATTTTTGGAAATTTAATGAGAAACATTTCCAAACTACTAGAGTTCATATGGTACAGTGAAATACAGAAAATTGGATTTAACACAACACAAAAGCAAATTAAAGAAATAACAATCTTTGCTCTGGTCAAGGATGGTGATGGAGATCTGACAAATAGCATTTTTTCCTCATGGGCATGTATATTCCATAACATCTCACAAAGAAATACATTCACAACAAGCTTATTGGCGGGAGGACACAGAGTACCAAATTATCTTCGTAATGCTTTATTTTATCTAAGCTTTATGTCTTCTAAATCATTTTGGATCCCCAGAAGCTGAAATCAGTATCCAATGTTAATGTAGGATGATTTTGCTTGTTTTTTCTTGCAGAGCTTTTAATTTGTTTTGTCCTTTCATAAAAGTTGGAATTGGTTAAAAGACAGGTTACATAAAAATATAGAAGATGATTCTTCAGGGCAAGGAGATAAGGCCTTGACCTCATGAATGCTTCCTTTATTTTAAACATCTAAGTCTTTTGTATACTCAGTCTCTGAGTATTATGTATTAAAAGTCTTCTTATTTTCTCTTAAAAAGCACATTTTCTGTTAGGGCCATAATTCTCATACTAATTCAAAGGCCTACGGTTGTTTAAATTGTTTTAAGCAACTCTTCTTAATTTGGCTGCTTTTTATTTTGGACAAAATCAGTTGATAGGCCTTAGTTTTCTGCTGAATTTTTTTAAATTCCTGCTTGCAATAATCAGCATTTTCAGAGCAAAAATATTTTGTTTTGTTTTTACTCGTGTTAGGCTGGAGACTGGGGTGTTATAGCTGGCTCGTATCAGCTCCCAAGAGCCAATTTTCTGAAATTCTGTGAGCCAATTGAGAGCTGAGGCCTAGTGCACCAATCAGCTGTTTGGCAGCTAGCAGTATAACACAGTAGCAGTAATAGAGCCAAAAGAACCAATTATTACATATTTGTCAGCACACCACTGAGTGGAGAGCTCCATTTCTACAAGACTGTTCTGCATGGTTCAGTGCAATTCATTCTTTCAGTGCAACTCTTTTTAATACAAGTCACGTTATTAAATCCTACTTGCTGTTACTGACTAAATTCCAAGCAGTAGTTATGCAAGGACCCACTCAAAGCTTTGGAAAAAGCTAAGGGACTGCTCCACCTCAACCTCAACCCTCCTTTACCCATCTCTGCCCTATCTTTGCTTTTTTTGCCGTCCGTTTACCCACTGCTGCCAGTTGTTCCTGCTGTCCAGCCTTGCATGCGACTACCTTGCCCTTTGTACTACATGCCATTACCGTACCAGCCAAAGCCACCTTTCACATGCTGGCTGAGTTCGTTTGCAAAAGAAGGCCCTAACTGGCACATAAGAGAAGACCCTGCCCCAGCTGCCCTATTATGAAAGCAGGCAGTTTGGAAGAAAAGCCCCAGCTGGTATAGTAATGGTTTGTGGTAATGACAGTGGCAAGCAGGGCTAGGTAGTAGGGTCAGCAAGCAGCAGCAAGTAGGCAGCCTGCTAAAATAAACTTCAGGTGGGCTTGAATTTTGTTCACATGACTATGGGATCAATGCAAGAGCATTGCAACTTTGATGAGTTGTGTGTTCCTTTCTTCAGCAATGCCATAACTTTAAATATTTGCCAAACAAATGGACATTAAACAAGGACTGCTTCTGAATTGAAATAAATAATTTCAACAAACATAAATTTAAGTGTCTTACCCAGAATATTTTGAAATCAACTAAGGAATCTCTTGTTTTGCTAAGATGACCAGGTGAAACTTTCACATATTGTATTTAAGGTCTCCTAAATGGAAGAACTGTTTCATCAGTTTTACTATATTGTGCAATGCTATTTAGTTTTGCTGTAATTTTGAACTTGTAGAGTGGAATTCTGCAATCTTTGTAACTGAAAGTCAGCTGAAACTGTTAATTGCTAAAATCCAAAATCAAAGTTTCTTTTCAAACATAAGACATAGGCATGGTGCTATTTTATTCTGATTACCTGAGGACAATATAAAATACGGGGGGGGGGGGGGGAGTTAATAGTAGTTCCAGTAAATAGAATGGAACATATTTCAGTAGGTTTTAAGCATTTCTGTGAATATGCAACATGTGAAATACTATCACAATACAGTATTTCTATTTCAGATTGTGTGTTTTCAGCTTAGGACAATGTTTAGCCTTTGACCTAACCACTTTCTTAAAATAAACTATTTGTTGGTGAGAGCAGCTGCTGAAGAGATTGTTTCCAGACTCCTCTCATAGCACCAAGTAACAGAAAGTAAACTAGAGTGTCTGATAGAAAAGCTGAGGATCACCTGTAACATAGTTCCATTATATTTCTATAACATGCACATGCTATGCCTTTCATGTTTGAAAGCATGCCTTTAGTGAGAGCATAAAGTAGAAATAAAACCTAGAAGCAGTCCCAGTTTGTCTGATAAATGTTGGATGATTTTTTTTCTCTTAAAATTTAAATGTTTTAGAAAAGGTTGGGAATCCCTTAGCTATAGATGTTGCTAAAATGTAGACTCAACTTTCCACAATAAATGTCCAAGGAATATTGAGAGTTGTAATAGAAGTAAAACTTAGATGAGCATAAGCTCCTCATCCCTGCTAAGTCGACAGAATTGGGGCAAGTTGAGATATTATTTTTACCATATAGATATTTATGAAAATCATTGACCTCTGTGTTGGCTTCTGTTTGTATTAATTTTTATTTTATTGTGACTTTACTAGTATATCATATCAATAAAATAATATGCAGTGACTTTAATAGGATATCATAAATGGCAGTGTCAATAAAATAATATGCAGTGTTTGTTATATCTAATAAATAATATACCTATAAATGACATTTATAGCTACCATACATAACTTAATCACAAACAATGGTCAAGGCATCCATTCCATCTCCCAAATTTTGCAATATAAAATCTCATAAGCTTTTAACCATCCATTTTTATTTATTTATTTAATAATATAGAATTTATATGGCGGCCCACTTACTTTCAGTAACTGTATGTGCTTATATTTTAATTTATCATATTTTGAACCACCCATCTTTGAGGTACTCAAAGACAGTTATACTACAGACATTTTGAATTTAAATCAACATAACAGTAAGATTTTATTTGGAAGTAACATAGGAATGCCTTTCAAAACATAAATCAGATGAAGGACAATATTCAATAACATTAATTTTATCTCCACAAATTAATCAATGTTAATCCACCTATAAACATGCAAATCACTATTTTCTCAAATATTTAACATATTTTTTTCCATAAATATTTTTGAGAATATATAATTCTAATTCTGGGCTCATTTCTGGCTTCCAGAGAGCCTCCAGAGCCTGGGGAGGGCAAAAACGCCCCCCCCCCCACCATGGTGCAGGAGGCCAGCTAGGCCACGCCCACCATGGTCACGCCCACCCAGCAACCAGGCAAGAGAACCCTTTACTAAAATTTTTGAAGCCCACCCCTGATTTAAGCCCAAAGGAAGTAGGTGGGACTTATCCCAATTAATCATGTGGGCCAAATGCTTTCTAAAATGCATTCATATAATATTAAGTAGAGAAATCAAATACTTATTAAGAAGTTAAGGTGTGTTCATGTCCTTTTGGGGAACAGAAATGACGTCTCAGTTTTGATATGTGTATTTTATATTGTCTTGTAATTTTATTTTATATCAAACAGGTTCTCCACAATACTTTTTTGGAATGGCTCAGAAGAAATATGATCACAGAAGGATTAATCACATCGAGCAAGGTGTCTCTTAAGTTTGTATCATCTTGCACTGAAAATATGGAAATAACACCTTTGCTCATTCCAGTAGTTACTGATACGGAAGCATTCTCATCTGAAAATTTTAGTTTTGAAAGATATAAGCAAAACCTTGATACTAGAATCTTGGGCAAAATAGTCTTGTTTTCTGAAGTTACATCAACTACAATGAATCTTCTTGATGGGTAAGAGGTTGTAAGAACGTTAATTTCACTATGAGAGAGAGACTTGGCAAAAAATGTGCAGTATTTTCTTTTGGACTTTTCATTCTCTTAGTTTATTGAAAATAAGTAGTAAGAAATTGCAAAAGATTGCTAGAAAGTTTAAAGGTATGAACTGTCAAGTATCATTATCATTTTTAGCAACAACCACTTTGCTATATTATTTTTCTATTTCTGATATACTGGGCTTTAAAATCATTACAATTCATAAAACTATCAAGTGTCAATCCATAAAAATGCACTTTTTCAAATAATAAGAATGGTGGATGTTGTCCAAATGAATATGAGTGATCAGATAATCTTTCAGACAAACTGATTACAAGATAACCTCTTCCTATTTCACCCAACTTGTTTTTATTACAGTCTTGTAATTTTGTAAGAACTTTGTTCCAATTGTGATCATAGTAATTTTGACTGAATCGATCCCATCTTTACTGCTTGTACTGTACTAGGTTTCTTTGATTTTTTTGTTAGTATGATTGGATATATTTCTGATTGGTCAAATACAATGAACGTGCTATAATTATGAATGTGCATTTTACAATTTTCAGGATGAACCCTTTTACAATGCAGTCCAACTGAGCTGATGGGCAAGTGGACATTGTGAATATTGCTGTTTTAATACCAAATTTCAGTTTTCTTATAGAGTATATTTTGTGATTCAACCATATTAAAACCTATATTTAATTTTTTGTTATGCTGAAAGCTGTCCTGAAGTGCATAAGATAAATAGAACACAATTTATTTGATTGCCTGGAAATGAAGGTCAGAGATTTACCAGCTATCCCACCATAGTTTATGCCCCATTATCATCTTCATTTTGTGTATGGATGAGAGTACAGTTGAATGTTAAAGTCATAGCTGAATTCTCTTAACTCCCTCTATATCTATAGAAATAACCCATTTATTATTTTTATGATATTTGATATAATGGAAAAGATTTTTTTCTACAGATTCCCTAAGTGACCAAGTTAGATAACAAATACAACATTTTGTTAAATAAAAAATGCCAGTTGCTCATAAAGGGGTGGCTGAGGTATAATGTATAAGATGAAAATGTGGTCATATCATCTATAATTTCAAATTGACGGTTGGCATCTGAAGTTTTTAAAATGTGGGGAAAAGTCCTGGAAAGAATTAAGGGCTCTATCTCTTAAATACCTGAGGACTAGTTTAGAGGGGAACAAGCATCCATAAGAGAATCAGAAAGTCAGTTGATGATTGCAGCAGCATGATCAAAGACGTGTGTGTATGCGCATACCCACAATATGTTGCATATGATATCACTGCACTTCAGAAGGGACAGCACTTCAGTCTAGGTGCTGAGACCTCCATTTTATTTTATTTAGCCCCCCTCCCCAATGTTGCTGGAAAAAGCCATGGTGGCGCAGTGGTTAGAATGCAGTATAGAATGCAGTATCTTTGAATTCCACTGCCAGGAGTTTGATCCTGACCGGCTCAAGGTTGACTTCTGAGGTCGGTAAAATGAGGACCAAGCTTATTGGGGACAATATGCTGATTCTGTAAACCACTTAGAGAGGGCTGTAAAGCACTGTGAAGTGATATATAAGTCTGGTATGTAAGTCTAAGTATTAATACTAAAAGAATAAACATAGCACCACAAGAATTGAAGGAAATGGCTTGGCAAAATTATTAAGACAATCTGGAACAAAGCACTACAAATGAAAAAGGCAGCAACAAGAAAGAGGAAAGGAAATCTAGCAAAATTTCTTGTAAACCTATTATGCAACCCAAGTTTTTTGTTGATATTGTCTAGCTTGGTAATGAAATGTCTACAAGAAGACAACCAAGCTCAGAAAGCACCAAGGACCCCACAGTTCAACCCTGAATTACAAATATTTTCCGTCACTGATATAAAGATTTTTAGTGTAATGCTAAGATGCAATAGAAGTCTTGATTATTTAAATATCTGCAGCAGAAAAGCTAAGATACATCAAACCATGGCTGGAATTATTTATTATTAATAAGTAGGGGGAACAAGTCTGTTTACTTTAACTTTTATTGCTACATGGATTAATTTTATATATTTACATAATGCCATCATTCCGTAAAATAGCAACTTTATGGATGCAGGAAACAGTGATAATATTGATAAAAATATAGAAATGTGTGAAATAATTTTAAAGAGGGTATGTATGACTACCTTATAACCTATTTCTAAAAACAGTACTGAATTGTTTTTATTCAAAATGTACTCTGTTAAAATATGTAAGGATAATAATGAATTGGTTTGTAGTTTTCACAGTCTCATTTATTGTTTTATATTTATACTATTTTGTTCCTAAGGAATTGATTTTCTAAGATAAACAATATTTTCTGATTTTTAAAATACATATTTACTTTATTATCATGTGGAATTAGAATTAGAAGAAAATAATATACTTTTCCATTTGTTTGAATCAGTTCAAAAGTAAAATATATTTCAGTTATGTCCTAGTAACTGATTAATTTATAATCATTAGTTAAATATATCCTATTCAACTAATTGAATTGCTAGCTACAAGAAATATTCTTGAATGGTATGTTTATTTGAATTATCATGATTGTGATGTGTTCATATATTTGCATTTTATCTGTTTATCGGTTATTAGCTTTATTTTTTGTTGTTGAAGTGATTTAAATATTGCTGTTAAAGTATTTTAATGCTTTGTGCCCTTGAATTTGACTGTTGGATTTTATTCGTTTGTTTTCTTTGAGCATCAGGACACCTGCATCTTTGAAAGCACTATCAATTTTTAAGCATAGTTTATTTATTCTGTCAAGGGGATTACACTTTGCCTTTTCACTTTTAACCCTAAGCTGCTAAGCATTACACCCAAACACTAAACTATAGTTAACTTTAAGTATTATAGAATAAAAATAGGTCAATTTTCAAAACTTGCAAAAAATTGTTTGTTTTAAACTTGCTTAAATTAGCTCTAATCTAAAACAGAGAGAAAAGCTTCTAAATTTATGTTCCTCATACTAAGTCAAAATTAGAAGAGCCAGAAAGTATATGAACCCAAAGCTTGCAGTACTATTAGTATAAAATATAAATATAAACTATCCTTATAATTGATAATCATATGAAATGAGATTTTTGAAACACACTAGCATACTTTTCAGTGAATTACCAGTTCACATATAATATTGATCAAAGATTATGGCCTATATATATTAACAGAGCTGAGTTGCTAAAAATAAACATATTTCTTCAAAAACATTTTCATATCACATAGTTTATTTCAGTGTGGTTTACAAAATTAAGATACACTGCTTTGTAATACTTTAAATGACTTATAAACCTTTAAAAAGACAAAGCTTTTAAATATGCTATTTCCTAATTATGTTGTAAGCAATTATGACAAAAACATATTTTTAAAGTATTCTCTTTAAGTTTATGTCATTTAATAACTAATGAACATATGTTAATTAATAAATTTTAATATATATTACTTGAGATTGAGATAGATATTTAATATTAAATTACCTATATTATAGCTATGCATGATATGCCTCCAAATCCTTTTACAAGTTGAACATAAAACCTTCCATCCCAGTCCTCTAACACTATATATCTTTCAAAATTAAGACTTAGCAAAAGTGGGCTGGAACTAATTTAATGGCTGAGTGATCTCACAGTAGAGAAACAGCCAGAGTGTAATAGGGTTCTTTGTCTATATTTCCACCCTAGCTGGTAACTTGCCAGTCAAAAGTCAAACGAGAGAAACAGGTGGGAGCTATTAGACCTGTCATAAAGCTTGAAAAATTGATTCTGGAGTCTAAATGATTAGATTGAACTTGACAGTGTTGTCCTAAAGATTCTAAGAAAAATTCTATAGTTTAATTTGGAGTCCCTTGATTATTCATTAGTTCTCCAGATGGCCTGTTTTGATGTATCACATATTATTATACAAGCTCTATTATTGTTGGCATATATTTACATGTACAACTAACAAGCAAACCAAGTAGCACCTCTATTAGTTCCTGTAAATTAAGAGGTACAGAATTAATTAAATTATAGAATAGAGATTTATTTAAATATTAAATAACTTAGCTTTATCCATAGTGCTGTATGATTTTTACTTCGGAATACTTTAAATTCATTGAAGTTATTGTGGAATAATGCCTTCAAAGTTGTCATTGTCATGGCTATTGAGGATGTTGAAACCACAATTTCTATAATTTACAAGAAATAAGATTTGTTAGATAGCTTACTCTAACCATAATTTCTATGGTTCTCCTCATGGTCTCTAAGCATATAATTAGAACAGTACAACACTTGGAAATTTAGGAATAATTTAAGGAATAAATCAAGCACTAGGATGAATAGCTTGAAAGAAAATCTATTTAAATCAGTGAAATTAATTGCTATTAAAGTAAAAATGAAAGAAGCACGATTTCAGTTTACTAAACGAAAAGTTGTGATTTCATAGTTGCCCACAATAGGGAATCCTGTAAAATGCACTTGTTTATATCAAAAACAAATCATTATACTGACTGAGTATTTTTTTAAAAACATTTAGTTATATGACTTGCAGTGTGGCATAAATTTGTGAATGGCCAAGAGGTCTGCCTGTACAAGGAACCTTATTCCTGATGGCTCAATTTAAAAAAAAACCTGAGAATATTATAGTACATTTCATATCAAAACTGTTTTTGAAGTATGTAAAAATAGTCAACAATTTATTATCGAGTAGTGGATATTTTGAAGAAGACTGCATTTAAAATTTCATAAACTATCAAGAATTGATTCTTGATTATTTGCATCCTGATATTTGTTTGCCTGAAGAAAAAAGGGAAATTGTTTTTGACCTCTGTATAAACAGAACTTTGAATGGATCCAAAGTTGTGCAATAGGAAACATGTTTATGCAATAGATATTCTTACCCATCCACAACTTTAAAATGCCATTCAAAAAGATCTTTTGCCATGGGCTTTGTAGTGATGTGGCAGTAGAGACA